CGCATCCCGCTTCATGCGATCGCGAAACACAAAACTCAGCAGCCCTCAATTAACCTTACGCGATCGCAAACAATGCCACGCGATCGCGATGCACAGACTGGCCCAACTTACACGATCGCGGTTGACCTCACGCGATCGCGAAGAACAAAATAAACACTGGCTCAACTAAGCCTACGCGATCACGTCCCAATCTTCGCAATCGCGAATAAGGTTTAAAATACCAGAAATCAGCAGCTACCAGCAGTGCCAAAATGAAGTAAAATACTCTGAATACCATCCAAAACACGCCCGAGCCTCTCGGGACTTCAACCAAATATACTAACAAGTCCTAAAACATCATACGAACTTAGTTGAGTCTTCAAATCACATCCAACAACACTAAAAATACGAATCACACATAGATTCAAGCCTAATAAAGTTTGAAACCTTTAATTTCTACAAACGACGCCGGAACCTATCAAATCAAATCCGATCGACCTCAAATTTTGTACGCAAGTCACAAATGACATAACGGAGCTATGAAAATTTTCATAACTGGATTCCGACCCCGATATCAAAAAGTAAACTCCCCGGTCAAACTTTCAAACTTAAATTCCTATTTTAGCCATTTCTAGCCTAATTTAACTCGGACTTCCAAATAAAATTTCGAACACGCTCCTAAGTCCAAAATCACCATACAGAGCTGTTGGAATCATCAAAATTCTATTCCGGGGTTATTTTTCCAAAATATTGACCGAAGTCAAACTTAGCTTGTTAAGGCCAACTTAAGGAACCAAGTGTTCCGATTTTAACCTGACACTTCCAAATCCCGAATCAACCATCCCCGCAAGTCATAAATTTATAAAAGCACATACGAGGAGTTTTATTTAGGGGAATGGGGTTCTACAAGTCAAAATAACTAGTTGGGTCATTACACTCCATGAGGATATAATTATAGCCCGAGTAGGCATCCAAGAAACTTAGTAGCTCGTGCCCGGCCGTCATGTTGATGAGTTGGTCGATATGGGGTAATGGAAATGAATCCTTGGGGCAAGCTTTATTCAGATCAATGAAATCTACACACATCCGCCATTTGTCGTTCTTCTTTTTCACCATGATTACGTTGGCAACCCATTGGGGGTACTTCGACTCTCCGACGGAGCCATTTTCCAACAAGTTTTCCACTTCTTCGTGTACTACATCATTAATTGTGGAATTGAATTTACGCCTAACCTGCCTCTCCGGGGGGGAGGGAGGGTAGAGTGGATCGACGTTCAATTTGTGTGTGGCGATCTCCTTTGGGATATATGGCATATCTGCATGGCTAAAAGCAAATAAGTCCGTGTTAGCAGTTAAATATTTATGAAGCTTCACCGGTTCTTGAAGTTTGCAGCCGATGTAAGCTTTATTGTTGTGGTCGTTATTGTCTAATTGAACGGGATTGAGGTCCTCTATGGTCGATCATACATCCTCGACCATATTGGGGTCTCTGATGACGTCCTCGCTGTCATCGCATATCGACCTCGGCCCTGTTGATTGCCATGCCTCTTTTTCTTTATCCTTTGTTTGTTGGGTGGCCGTACAATCTAGGGCGATGCGGTAGCATTCCTGGGATGTGTGTTGCTCCCCTCGTATACTGAATATTCCCCAGGGAGTTAGGCATTTGATGACTTGGTACAAGCTGGAGGGGATAGCTCTCATGGTATGTATCCATGGTCGCCCTATTATGGCATTGTATGTTGTGTCCTGGTCCATGATGTGGAATGTGATCTCCAGAGTGACACCACCTGCTAGAACGGGGAGTGTGATCTCACCGGATGTTCGCTCAACTGCATTGTTAAAGCCGGTTAGTGTGATGCAGCGTAGCACTATCTTGTCCTCGAGTTTCATTTGTGTGAGTACTCAAGGACGGATAATACACGCGCCGCTCCCGTCGTCTACCATAATTCGTCTTACGTCGGTATCTAAAATTCATAAAGTGATAATGAGAGCATCATAGTAAGGGAAGCCCAAACCGTTATTATCTGACTTATCGAAGGTGATACTTTCTTCGAGTTCATCATACCATTCGTGGGTGATCGACCGTTTGAGCTTGTGGGTTATGGTGAACTTCACACTGTTGATGGAATCGTTGTCCCCGCCACCAATGATCATGTGGATGGTACGGGCTGGCGAAGGCGGTTTTGGTGGCCTTTGATGTTGTTCACGTCCCCTGGCAAAGTTGGTCCTTCCCCGATCGCTCAACAATTCTTTGAGGTGTCCCTGCCGCATCATGTTTACGACCTCCTGTCTTAGGGCGATGCAATCTTCGATTTTGTATCCTCGCTCTTGATGGAACTCGCAGAGGGCATCTTATTTTCTGGTATTCGGGTCTGACCTCATCTTTTGTGGACACTTCACCTTTGGTTCGAGCTTCTCCAAGGCGTAGACTATCTATGTAGGTGACACACAAAAGTTGTGAGCGGATAGTAAATGGGGCATACCTCTCTCATTCCGGTGAGTCCCTGTTCTTGATTGGGGTGGGCCTTCTTCATGGCGGGATGAGGACGCAGCGGTACTTCTGATATATGGGAGATGTCGTTCCCGATTTGGTCGTGAGTCCGCGAGATCTCTTTTGATATTATTTCTTTGATCTTTTCTAGATTCTGCTTGCACCGAGGTCAGTCGATGGGTCGACCCATTGAGGTCGTCTTCGTTTGCTCGGACTTCGGCGCAATATGCGTTGTGTATCTCGTCCCAAGTAGTTGGGGGATACTTCATTAGCCAACTTAATAATTTTCTTGTCGTCGTTAAACCATTTCTGCTCAGCCCATTTTGAAAAGCTGCTACCGTTATTCCTTTCGATACATTAGGCAAGGTCATCCTTACTCGATTAAAACGGGCAAGGAAATCCTTCAACCCCTCTCTCGGAGACTATTTAATAGCAAAGATGTCGTTTACTCTAGCCTCGGCCTTCTTGGCCCCGACATGGGTCGTTACGAACTTATCGGCCATTTCCTCAAAGGTTTTGATGGAACGTGCAGGCAGTTGCGAATACCAGGTTAATGTGCCTCCCGTGAGGGTTTCGCCGAATTTCTTTAGCAGAATGGAGGATACTTGTTCCTTGGTGAGGTCATTGCCTTTCACGGCAGTGACGTAGCATGTCACGTGATCTTTGGGGTCGGTTGTGCCATCGTATATTTTTAGATAGGGTGGCATCTTAAAGGTCTTTGGTATGGCATGTGGGGCAGCACTATCACTGTACGACTGCTCGACGAACCGACCGACATCTCTCTTCGGCAATAGCTTAGGGGCGCCTGGTATCTTATCGACCCTTTCTTGGTGTTCTCTCATTTGGTCCCGAAGTGCCTTGTTCTCATTTTCCATTTCCTCCATCCTTTTCAGAATGGCCATGAGAGCGTCATCACCTACATTGTTAACAACATTGTGAGTAATACATTTTGTCGTGGGAGGAGGAGGAGGTTGATCGTGTTGCTCGTCCACCGGTGGCATAACACAAGCTCTCACATTTTCTGCAGCCGCATCCCGAACGGGCTTATGGAGGACGCTAGTCAGTGTATCAGTTAGCCAGGCCTCAAGGAGCTTCTTTACTGCTGGTGGTGCCTCTTCTACCACGGATGTGGAGGCTGCCTTGCCAAGATATTTTGTGATGCTGCAGTGGGGAAGGGGTGATCCACCTTGCCTAGGAGAGGCATTGGGCGTCATGTCCTCATCCACTGCTTCAGATCTTTCATGGATGATGTTCATGAGGTTGGTTGGGAGGTCACTCATTATTCTCGTTCTTTCTTCTCTGTTACTTGCGATATTAGATCTATGTATGTAGAGAGAAAAATGCTCTTTTTTTTTTTAACGTTAGTGACCAGTGTCAATTATAGATCTAGAAGAAACTAAAAGACTTAACTAGAAAATTCTCACAGACGGCGCCAAATAGTTTGACCAAAAAGTATAACTTTCGGCGAAACTATTTAATTTATGTAATAATGGGTTAAATCTAGTTAAAGATAATAACTCTAGATGCAAATCTTGAAAACGTGTGGGAGATGGGGACAAATCCCGTAAAGGGTTGATAACAATAAGTACAAAAATATTCTTAAAGTGTGAGCAATAATGGAGGTGTAACTAGCAATAAATAATAATAAATGGCATTTAAGTAAATAAGAGGAATGATTCACTCAATATTGGATGGATTGGACGAATATTTCTCCTGACAATATGAATGATAGATAGATCTAAGATTCACTTGATCAATTCTCCGATCTGGTGGAAAGATGTGGAATAATATGAGCAAAAATCTTGATAAAAAGGTGATCTTTGTATTTTTACAAGAGAGAGAATCTTCTTCTCAAAAGGGTTCTTATTGAATGAATACCCCCCCCCCCCCCCAATTCCTTTTCTTTTTTTCTTATATATTTGACACATATCTCTAGCAAACCCTAATAGTACAAGTTTAGAGAATATTCACTTTTAATATCCTATTTCGTAAACTGACTGTTGTTGTTCTGTCAACGATGCTCGACCTCGGCCATCACTGCCTTCTTTACCACGAATCTCGCTATCCCCTGGCCGACCTCGACTGATCCTTTCCTTAATGATGCATTACCCTAAATATTTTAGGGCAAATTTTAGCCTATATAGTATCCATGAAGTAATGTACCAAAAATATGAAGAATAAATTTGCAATAATACAAAGAAAAATTAGGCTACGAGGTAAAATTATTATATAAAAAGTTAGGATAAAGGATAAAATATTATTATTTAATAATAAGAACGGGCAAAATGAGAGAAAAAATTAAGGTAATGACACGGCCACACCAAATCGATCGTTACATAAAGTGACACTTTTCGTTGTTACGTAACTAAGAATTTAATGATACGATACAATAAAATTTAAGTAACAATAAAAATAAATATTATATTTAAAGTAACAATATGATAAAATACCACCGTTAACAACCATCCACCCAAGCTGTAAGATTAAGATTGTAACGCGGATTTGTAACAAACCAATATCGTTTCCTTTGTACTGATTCTCTTATGATGATCAAAATAAAGACAGAAAAGTTACGAAAAAATGCCAAGGCAGCTGCCTTCTCATAACTCTTAGGCCAACATAAGGCTAGGTGAAAAATGAAACAAGCAAGAAAAAAAAACGAGAATCTGACCTGTGGTATATTGACTCTTTGCTGTGACATCCAAACAAATCCTAAACTCATTGAACTGTTGATAAATAGAGTAAACTTAATGCAAATGACGACACCAAGAAAATTTCAAAAAGAAAAGATAAAACAAATCGCTGCCTCTCCTTTTCATGTTGGATATTTTGCTCTTTAACTCTTCCTAATATGTTTAGGCAAAATCAAGTCATGTCCCCATGTTTCCACTTAATCCATCGTCCTTTTTCACTTTGTCCTTTGGCTGGACAGGATACTTCCCAGAAAAGCAAGCATAACAATATTTTGTAGAATCACTTCCTAACAACTTGTTCAAACTATCCAATGGCAAAAATGCTAAGGAATCTGACCCTATAAACTTCCTAATTTCCTCCACATTCATCCTATTAGATATCAACTCCTCTGAATTAGGAGTATCCACTCCATAATAACAAGAAGCTATAATTGGAGGGCTAGCAATCCTCATATGAACCTCCTTTGCTCCTGCCTCCTTTAACAATCTCACAATCTTAGACGACGTCGTCCCTCTCACTATCGAATCGTCCACAACAACGACTCTTTTCCCCTCCAACACCGCCCTAACAGGCGAAAGCTTAAGCTTCACCCCGAAATCTCTAATTTTTTGAGATGGCTCGATAAATGTCCTACCAACATAATGTGACCTTATTAAGCCTTGTTGAAATGGTACACCTGCTTTTTTAGCATATCCAAGTGCAGATACAACCCCTGAATCAGGCACTGCAATCACAACATCACAATCCACGGGCGCTACAGTCGCAAGAATTTCCCCAAATGCACATCTAGACTCGTACACAGACCTACCAAACACAACAGAATTTGGTTGAGCAAAGTAAATATGCTCAAAAATGCAAGATTTTGGCTCAGGTTTAGGCACTAAAGAAAAAGATTGAACCCCTTGATCTTTATCTACTACCAATATCTCACCAGGTAAAACTTCCCTTTCATATTTAGCCTCAATTAAATCCAATGCACATGTCTCGGAAGCGAAAACAATAGCACCATTTTTCCTCTTACCCATAACCAATGGCCTAAACCCGTACGGATCTCTCACAGCAACCAACTTATCCTGAGTGGAAAACACCATAGAATAAGCTCCTTGTAACTTTTCACAAGCCTCAAGAATCCTCAAAAGAAAAAGCTTTTTCTTTGATCTAGCAATAAGGTGAAGAACCACCTCAGTATCAGAACTAGTCTTGAAAATTGCCCCGTCTTCCTCAAGTTCAGCACGAAGAGCTAGGTAATTCACAAAATTGCCATTGTGGGCAACACCAACTGATCCAAATTTATAACTTGCAACGAAAGGCTGAACATTGTTTAACATTGAAGAACCAGCTGTGGAGTACCTTACGTGGCCTATTGCCATGTCACCGGGCAGTTGACTGAGATTTGACTCGTTGAAAACATCAGCCACCAATCCAACACCTGTAACAGTAGCCAGTATAGAAGTTA